CACACTTCAAAAAATCAGAAACAAAAAAAAAGAAAATTTAGTAGTCAAAAAATTGAAAGGGAAAGAAAGAAAAAGAAGGTGAGAGAAGAAAGACAAAGGAAAGAAAATGAAAGCCTTGTTGGGATGGTACAATTTGAGAACAGGTTGAAGGAGGGAGCCCTTTTGGCAAACAGGAGTGACAGTGCAGAGAGAAGCGTGTGCCTGGCACCTTCAGTGAATAGCAGAGAGGTGGTGGGTGGCAGCCCATTGAGGGGCCTTCATGGACATGAAAGGCTGTTGACTTTTCCTCTCGGTGAGTGAAAAACACTGGATGACCTAGAAAATGTGATTAGGTTCTAAGGCGCTCCCTGGAGTTGCTATACTCAGAATGGACTGAAGGGGGTCATGGGTGGAAGTGGGGACAGTGAACTAGAAGCTATTATTAAAATCTAGGTGAGAGATGAGGATGGTTGTTGTGAAGGTGAGAGAGACAACTGCAGGTAGGACATACTTCACAGAAATTGATAGGTGTCTTAATGGATAGCATGCTGGATATGTGTGGAAAACAGAAGTCTGTTATGCATGCAGAGTTTTGGTCTGAGTCAGTGATAGAGTTCCCATTGCTGCCAGAGGGAAAGAGCGGGTGGAGGAGAGCATGTGTCAGTTCTGGAAATATGAACTCTTTGCTTATCCCAGTTTGTCCTTGAATATGTGCTAGTTGCTTTTGAATTTTTCAGGAGAGTGTTGTGTGAGGCAGAAAGGAGGGAGGAGGGAAGGAGCAAAATGTAGAGTGGTCCTAGGGTTTGCATTGTAAGAAAGGATCCAGGAGACAAACGTTTTGCTCAAGGCACAGATAATAGAACTAGGCAAGGCCACCCAACACTGTACACATTTTCATTAAGAATAGATGAAGAATGACATCTAAAGTGCTCTCTAGTTAAATGAGGGGAAAATAATGCCTCCCACTGTTCTCAAGAGAATTACTAACCCATATAAATGAATGGAAGTTTAACATGACAAGGCTGGGCCCAGTGGCTCATGCCTGTAATCCCAGCTATTGAGGGATGATTGAGGCAGATATTGGGAGAATCTCAATTCAAGACTTCTCAGGACAAGAAAGTTAGCAAGACACTATCTCAAAGAACAAGCTGGCATCGTGGTACATATCTGTAGTGACAGCTACATAGGAGGCATAGGTAGGAGGATGGTAGTCTGAGGTCAGCTGGGGCAAAAAAAGTGTGGGTCCCTAAGTAAAAAAATAACTAAAATTGAAAAGAGATGGAGGCATTGCTCAAGAGATAAAGTGAGTGCTCACCTAGCCAGTGTAAGGCCCTGAGTTCAATCTCCACTGTTACCAAAATAAAAAAAATTTAACATGATGAAAATGTCCTGGCTTCTGAGGTGGGGTAACAGTAAGACCAGGACACAGGTGGCTAGCAGGGGAATGTTACAGCATTTATAGCTTCCCTTAGACATTGACCAAGCCAAATGAATAAACTTTGCATAGTATCTTCTATGTTGCAAAATATTTGACTATCACAGTCCAAATGCAAACAATTAGCTGTTATTCTTGTGATATAAGTTTTATTTAATTTAATTTGCTTTCTAGTGGAAATTTCAGAGAAGTATATTTTAAATAGGCATATATAAGACTTTAAAATCGTAACCTAACATCAGGGAGAAAGAGCCAAATTAGGTTACATTTTTATTAGATTACTTTTGAAAACAGAATAGCTATGAGAAGTCTTCATAGGAGGGTGTTTTCCAAAGAAATAGGCTGACACTGAATTATTTGTAATTAACTTGTCAGAAACTCATGTTTGTTTTGAATCCCTTGATTTATTTGTCATAAGTCCTGGACTTTCACATTTGCCGTTCCTTGTCATAAACTACTGCACTCCAAGTCAGAGAGTATCACAAGCACTTAGGACTAAACAATGGTTTGGTTCTTTTAAAGAAGCTCAGAAATTAGATTCACTTATTTTGTTTAATAATTTGATCCCAGTAACAAGAAGGAATGCTTGTCTGGTGCTGGTGGCTCACAACTGTAAGCTATTCAGGAGGCAGAGATCGGGAGAATTGCAGTTTGAATTCAGCCCTCAGCAAATAGTTTGCAAGACATTATCTTGAAAATATCCAGTACAAAAACTGGTGGAGTGGTTGACGTGTTAGAGTGCCTGCCTAATAAGAGTGAGGCCCCAAGTTCAAACCCTAGTGCTGCTAAAAAACCAAAATAAAACAAAACAAAAAACTCCACTTTGCCACTGCAATTTCTCCTTTTTAGTTGACATTAAGGAAACAAAAACAAAATGTGGCTTGAGTTACAACTTGGTAAGCTTGGTCAAATTATTGAACTGGTCTTATTCTTGAGTTTTTATTTTAATCTGTAAAATTTGAATGCTATTGACGATTTGTATTATATAGGATTTTACTTTTTTATTTTTAATTTTTTAAGTAACAGTATTATACTTTGAAAATGCATGTCTGAGTTGTTTTAAAATAAAAGACTTTATCAAATGCTTCTATAAAATTGTGTGATTAATACATGAAAATTCTGGATGACACATTATTTTTAAAACTACTCAATCAAGGCATATGTGGCCTTGTTTCATGAATAAATGCCAAACTTTAACAAATGTTTTTAAAAGATGTTTCAGGGCATGAAATATAAAACTATTCAGAGCTCATATTATTTTATTTAACACACCCTTTTCTGTCGCTTACCGAGCCCCAGGCCGCTTACCAAATGTGCTGACTCCTGAGCCTAGGCTCTCAAGCCCATAATGAGATTTCGAGAACAGCAGCTAAAAGACCTAATTCCTTCATTTTACATCACAATCTCATGGTCAATCTCCCAGTGATCAAAGGACTTGCTATGTCATGTCAAGAGCTTGTTACCCATGCCTAAGGGCTGACTAAAGTCCCTGGGCAGTTAAGAAATGCCAAAAATGTTTCCAGCCACTGTGGGGTTCAAACGCTGTAGGAAACTGAATAGAACATTTTATTTAGAACCCCTCTTTGGAGGCAACTCTGCTCTTGACTCTCCACACCTGGCAGCAGCAAGATTTGGTCATCAGTCATCTTTGGAATCAGCCTGCTTGGGCTCAAGTTCTGGCACTATTTCTTGGTGCAATGTGGGTTGGGCAGCTTGCTTAATCTCTGTGCCTCAGTGTCCTTATCTGTACAGTGGGGTAATGATCAACAGTGCCCATGTCGTTGAGTAGGGTTAAGAATGGAAGAATTAATGTAGGTAAGTCACCCAGAGTTGCTTAGGGAAAGTTTTACATAAAGGTTAGTTGTTATGATTCTTTTAGTGTGCATCCTCCAATGAGAGGTTCATGTTGAGTTTACTCATAATAGAGTCATAACAACAATGCCTAACTAAAATCAAATTTTGATGATTTGACAATTAGCATTTGTTTTAATGGTGCCCAAGACTCAGCATTATGGTTTTCTTTGTCACTCCTTGGCAGAAAACTTCCTATTCACAATCTCCCTTTATTTCTCTGGAGTTCTCAAGAAAAACTATTTTTCATCCAAGCCGAGAGAACTACTAGGATTGAAATCAGAGGAACTGGACTGTGTTTTTGAGTGAGCCTCAGTCACATTCTGGACCATAGACAGAGTGTGTCTAAGAAACCACCAAGTCCTGCTTACTTCTCAAGGCTCATCTTTGTTTTTGAGCCTTCCTAATTCCTGTCAGCCAAATGAGGTGTCTAGAAATGTCTGGAGGGACAGCCTCAATGTCCTGTAATGTCAAGATCATTTGGAACAAAAGTGTTATAATATCAGAGAGTTAAACAGTAAGCAGTAATTGTTATTTAGCTTGAGCAGCTAATGCTAAAACAGAGGGAAATAATTGAAGGGATTATTCAATGTTGTTCTTTTGTTTAAATATTTATGTAGCAAGTTCAAGAATTCTTAGTACATGATGCACCAGTTTTGTTTTGTTTTTTTTTTTTTAGTAAGTCATGGATTTTGGCTAAAAATCAAATGTTGTGGTGGGTGGGATGGCAAATTACAAGATGTCCTTGAGTGTTTAAAATGGAAGAGCGTGTGCGTCCCCCTAGGTAGTCAACAAGGACAGAGCTACAAGGGGCAGAAACTCTTTTTAGCTCAATCACTGAAACTTATTTTCTTCAGTCCTTCAGTTTGGGTAAGCATCAATAATTATCTAAATTTTGTAATAAGGAAAGTATCAATAACTTGTGTTTAAAGAAATGTACTTTCTTGAAAATATGGATAGTTGTATTTGTTGCTGTGTCAATTTCTATATTGGTTCCATCCCTCCCCTAACACTTTAAGAAAAAGACACAATGAAAGATTCTTTTGCTGAAGGGGAAAAGTATTTGATTATTATTCAAGACGCTCAAGTATTCTTAGCCTTTGGTCACTCTAGGAAACAGGCTGAGGCACGGACAAGGTTTTAAAGGTTTCGGGGACAATGACTTGGCTAAGGCTTTAGTTCTCATTCTTCGGTTGATTTGGGTTGATTACTAGCACATGTGCAAGAGTGTGAGGCACACCATATCTCTGCAAGCTGCCTCCAGCCCATGTGCAGATCTGTGGTCGTATATAAGGTTGCATAGTCTGGACTCTGAAGTGTTGTGGTTTTAAGATTTTCAAAAATAAAAATTCATATTTTTTCCTCTTAATTTAGCTCTTTTGAGAACACTCTCACAATACTGGCAGTATGTAATTAGGAAATAGCATGTCTGTGAGGAGGGCTATGTGATTGTGAGGAATAAGTACAGTATTTCATGTCTAAAACCTGCTGTTAGACATATGTGTACTTAATAAATACGAGTTGATGGATTGATTTTCCGGTAGTCTTGAATAAGTAAAGACCATGGCCAAATAAATATTTTTCTTGTGGTTTGTGTTATTTATTTTTCAGGAGCGACACTGACGCTCCTCCCGACTATAACCCTCAGGCAGCATTATCAACGCAGAGTGCAGACCCTCTGCATCCTGTCATCGGTTTGTGTGGAGTCAATTACCAATTTTTGTTGACTGATAAACAAAGTATGGTGCTTTGGATCTTGATAATTCTAACAGTTTCCATGTATTTCACAGCAGCTAAGGGTAGTAAGTATTACTTTTTTGGCTAAAAGAAAAAATGCTTAAGTAATTCTAAGAACATTTGCTTTGTTTTAAACTGCTCGTTTTTGGTTGCTCCAATTGGGTTGAAAAGTGGAAAGTTCATTTTTTACTCTTCAGTCATTTTTTTTATAAAAAATTTATCCAAATGAATTCTCTATTACAACTATATGATAATTTTAGTTGAGCAGTATGGTGATGTAGAACCAAACTGATTCATTAATCTGTGTACCTGTAGAACATTTCATAAAAGATCCTAATCATTTATTTATTCTTTCTCAAAGTATCACAATGTAAGATTCATTTTAAAATTTAATCCTACATGAAAAATCAACCATATAAGAATTATGATATTTTCATATGATCATCTCAGGATCATATTTGTACTTTCTATTGGCAGGTAAACTGTCTTGGGGCTTGGAAAACGAGGCTTTAATTGTGAGATGTCCAAAAAGAGGAGGATCTCTTTACCCTGTGGACTGGTATTACTCCAAAACAAATGAGGCTGTTCCCTCCCAGAAAAGAAATCATGTCTTCGCCTCAGGGGGTCGTCTTAAGTTTCTGCCAGCCAAGTTGGATGATTCTGGAATTTATGCTTGCATTATCAGAAGGTATCATTCAGGAAGCCACTATATTCTTTGAGCTTTCTCCCCTTTCATTAATGGTTGATAGTGTAAGGTGCCCTCACTTTTCTTCCTTCTCCACTCCTTTGTGGAACAGTTAAATATGGAAATGATTTGAATAAAAGACTACTCCTAGAAATAATAATGGGTTGGGGGACTATGAGCCAACTATTTGGATATATACGTATGCATGTATCATTGCAGGAATTAATTGGTAGTCCAATTGGAAAAAGGCCTAGCTTTTCTATTGATAAAAGAACCAAGAACAGATGCTTACTTTCTGCTGGGAGTCAAACAAACCTGCACCAAAATCAGTAATGTAGGCATTTGGCATCCAGAGCTATGTGGTAGGTAAAAAGGGGTGGTGATCAGAGCCTGAAATCTTAGAGGTTAGCTAAAGAGGGGTCCAATGGACTGTGTACCTGTAAGTCACTCAGTCTGTGTATAAATTGTCTCATATTTTGATATCATGTCTGTATTTGGTACCTACAAAATGTCAGATAAGCAACATCAAAAAGGAGCCTGGGTATAGTGAGTGCCTAGATTATGAAGTCAGACTAGCAAATTCATACCATTATCTGTGTATTGCCAGCAAGTTAATTCTTTTCCTCCTAGTTTCTTCATCTGTAAAATATGTACCATAATACAATCTACCTCAAAGCATCGCTGTGAGAATAAAATGAAGCAATATATGAAAAGTGCTTTTCTCCATCACTGGTATATAGTAATGACCAATAAATAACAATAATTATTATTAAATTGGAATACAGCATTAGAACAGCTGTAGGACAAACTAGGGGCTATGTTTTCTTTTTTTTTCCTCTGGGGAAACAAAAAGTATTTGAAAATTAAGATTTTAATATTTATTTTTCAATAAGAAAAGAACCACTAGATGACTCATTATTTTAGGAAAAAAAGCAATATAAGTAACACTGTTTAATTGTCTGACTTATTTTAATAGTCCCACCTTGAATATGACTGGATATGTGAATGTCACCATATATAAAAAGCAATCAGGTTGCAACATTCCCGATTATTTGATGTATTCAACAGTATCTGGCTCAGAAAAAAATTCCAGAATTTCTTGTCCTACAATTGACCTCTACAATTGGACGGCACCTCTAGAATGGTTTAAGGTAAAAGGAAATTTGGGAGAAAATAGGTTAAAAAAAATGCAACTGAAATAAATGCAAGTGAAAAATTACTGAAAAGGGGATGGCACTTATCATTTCAGAATTGTAAAGCTCTTCAAGGATCAAGGTACAAGATACACAGGTCATCTTTGGTCATTGACAATGTGAGGTATGATGATGAAGGTGATTACACCTGTAAATTTACACACACGGAGAATGGAGTCAGTTATAGTGTGACAGCAACCAGATCATTTACAGTTAAAGGTAAGCTACTAACTTTAACAAAAAAGAAGATTTAAGCAAAATGAATTGAGAAGAACTTTGCCCTTCTGGCTGTTTCCTGCAGTCTGCCCTTCTCCTTCTGCTCCCTCCTGCTTCCTCTTCCTCATTCTCTACCACGACAGATCCACTAAGGTGCTATCAAGATTTAAGAACTTCTGGGGAATGGTTACACTATTAATTCAAAGCCATATCTATTTTATTTTGTGACTTAATTTTCCGAAGATAAAACAGTCTGAATGCTAATACAGTCCACTTTTTTTGAATGGCAATCCAACAATATGTGAGAGATTGGTCCCAGACCCCCCAAAGAGACCAAAATTCTGGATGCTCATGTCCCTTCTATAAAACAGTTGAATAGAGCCTATATACATTTTCCTCTATATTTAACTCATCTCTAGATTACTTATAATATCTAATACAATGTAGATGCTTCTTAAGTAGCCATTGTACTGATACTGGATTGCCCAGCCCAAGTTCGTGTTCAGGAGAAGTTGAAGAGTGAAGACACTGGGCCAGGGGTTAAACTTTTGCAAGTGCAAAGTTTATTGAAAAGAGAGCAAAGCTCCCAGTGCTGGAGGGGCTTAGGAAAGGCTAAGCCACAGTATAGCTAGATTCTAGGAGTGATATAGGGCTCTGCCTGGCTTAGGGCCAAGTATTTCTACCTTGAAACTACATTAGTGATTGATTGGCACCTAGTCAACTCATTGAACCCAAATGCTTTCCTGTCCCTAGCCTTATCAAACAGAACATTGGGAAAGGGTTGATTAGCTTGTGCTGGCTTTGGGACCTGCCATCCACATCTTGCAGCTACACTCTATTATCTTGGTAAGAGGCCTGTTATTTCTGTAAGAAGCCTGTTGTTCCTCATGCCCGTTCAGATGTCTGCTTCTAAAATGCCTCCCTCATTCAAAATGGAGTCACCATTGTCATTTGTTCCTCCCATAATACTATATTTATATTGTTTAGGGAGTAATGACAAGAAAAGTGTTTATACATATTTAGTACAGAAGCAATTTTTCCTAATATGGTTGATCTACAGGTGGTTGAATTTGCAGCTGTGGAAGCCACAGATAGAGAAGGTTGAGTGTATTGGAGTGCAGTGAAGTGTATAAATATCATGGAGTAGTTTTCAACTCTGGTTTGCAATGCTTTTGACATCGTCTATGACCTCAAGAGGATCACTTGGAAAAAATTCAAATATATTGTAAATGTTGTAAAAGCCCATTTAAGGGAAAGACTTCAAAATCATAATTTATCAAATCTCCAAAAAGCCAGGGTTTCCTTAGCACATCTTTATCTATAGGTGAAAGATGAAGACAACTTTCTATGTGCCAGTTTTCTCGGGGCAAAGCAATATTGGAGAAAAGTTTCTTTTTTTTTTTTTTACAATAAAAAATGTTTTATTGCTACTAAATCCAATCTTCACATCATCTTACAGCATCACAAAATCGATTCTTCTTTTAATTTTATTGTAACCATTAAAAAATGTAAGAAGCCATTCTTAGCCTGCAAGCTGTACAAAACAGACAGCAAGTAAATTTCCCCTGTAAGACAGTTTGCCAAACCTGGAGTGAGAATATATTATCGCTGAGACTGTATCGGTCTCAGGAAAAGAAATGTCTGTGTGTGTTTGACGATGCAACTTTATTTTAAATACTAAATAATTCCTAGGGTTAAAATCAAAATAATATAAAAATTAGGTATTGAGAAATTTCCCTCTTATCCCAGCAGAGCCACATCATCTCCTCCAGCTCCATCCCCACAGCTAACTATTTGTATGAATTTCTGTTTTCACTATTTGTACAAATATTAGTTTAAAAAATCACACATAGTTCTCCCTTTTTTTAGTGGTACTGGGGTTTGAACTCAGGGCTTCACACTTGCTAGGCAGGCACTTTAACTTCTGAGCCACTCCACCAGCCCTTTTTAGCTTTATCTGTTTTTTTTCTCACATTTTTGCCCAGGGCTGGGCTCAGACCAAAATTCTACCTATGGCCACTGATATAGCTGGGTCCCCAGACAAATGCCACCAGGCCCAACTTATTGGTTGAGGTGGGGGTCTCACTACATTTTTTTCCCAGGCCGGCCTTCAAGTGCAATCCTTTCAATCTCTGCCTCCCTAGTAGCTGGTATTATAGATGTGAGCCACAGAACCAGCAATGTTCAACTTGACACCAAATTCCTAAGATCTTTCTATATTGTCTGGATTTTCTTAAAGTTCCACTACTGTAAAATAAGCACAGCCAGTACACATTTCTCTTTGTGCCGCTCACTGTTTAACATTGGTGTCTGCAATGGTTCTTAATCACACTACCCTGAAATAAATGAACATTGTGGGATGGGGTATGTAGCTAGACTCCAAAAGACTAACCTCCTGCTCTGTCTCTTAGCCTCAGTGGTCACGGGAATTCAAATTCCCTAAAAGGAAGAGTCTTCTCCCACTAAGGGTGGGCCACAGTGGTGGGGAGCTGTAAGCAGACCTGTGGGCTCATGCACACATCACTTTTATGGGCCTTTTGACATCCTCCCTGTAATTTTATTCTTATTCTGCAGAACTGTGGTCTTCAAACAACTGTTAGGTCATGCGATTAATTTAGTGGGTTGGACCAGCATTTGTTCTAATGATATAGAAGAGAACAGAAAATATCACAAAACATCATAGTAGTCAGAAAAAGTATTACTTACATGTTTTTTATTTCATTTGTTGTATTGCTAGTGATTATCGTTAGAAAAATTTGAGAACATTGCTATGAAATAAGCTAGAAATTTGAAAATATAAGCTTTATCTTGACCTTGCAATGCTCTCTTAATACTTACATTCTCTGCTTGTTCTTAATTTTCAGATAAGCCAGGCTTTTCTATGCTTCCAGTAATTATAGCTCCTCCACACAATGAAACAATGGAAGTGGAAATCGGTAAGGACATTTTAATAGTGCTGTGTCTACTGGAAAATTCTTCCTTATGCCCCATGTCTAGATTCCTTTATGTGGGGTGAGGTGATTAGTATAGGAGACCGTAAGTACCATGTGAAACAAAGATGTAAAGACACCTGACCTGGGTACTTGCTAATACTAGGAACCACGTCACAGCAATATGCAGCGTTTACATTTGTATTTCCATTAGAACTTATGGTGCTCGTGTATGCATCTCATTGTATTGTTGAGTCTATCCTGCAGGTAGATGTTGCCCCTACTTTACATAATTCTGGGGAAAATTAGATTCAGAGATGCTCATGGGCATCCATGACTAAGGTCGTGGATAGTAACTGCTGGCTTTTCCATTTTCACCTTTCTTGGCTCCCATCAGAAGTGGGATACAATTAAGTGGTTTTAGTATGCAAAACAAGTATCCCCCTACCCTGGTCATGCTCCCCTGGTAGTCTGTCCCCAACGATTAACACTACCGTACCAACTGCCTCATGGTGCCACTCTGATGCTTTTCACATTCTTTACCACTCTTGCCCATGTTGTTCCTCCTCCTGATCTCTCAAGACCAAGCTCCTATATCACTTCTTCCATGTAATTCTTCCAAAGCCCCCTCCTTCCCTGTCAAAAGGCAGGATCCAAGTCTCCTTCATCAGTTCAAGTCCAGGGCACCATTTTCATGTGCAGTGTGACAGCTATGCTCCCTGCAATTTCTCCCTCTGTCCTTCCATGTTATGTCATCAGTCTTTCTATTAGAACACTACAACAATTTGTATTCTAATCCTTTCTTTCTACCACTGCTACCTCCCAGAGACATGTCTCTTAGACACCTAGCCCCTAACACTGCTCCTGACAAGAACCTAGGGCTGGGGAAGGGATGGTTGAAGGCATGTTCCTAGCCAAAAAGCAGCCTTGATGCTTTCAATTCTGAAAGGAGGAAATCTCAAGTTCAGGGAGTTGGAAGGAGTGCTCGAAGTGTACTTTCTGAGTGCTTAAACTTGGGATGATAGCTGGGTTGGGTAAAACTGTTTTCTCTCTGAAGATAGAGAAAGGGAGGAGAAAGGCATGCAAGGGACCAGTAATGTTTAGTTACTTGCCTGCTTAGCTTCCCCTGAGGTGAGGGGCTGGTAAGAGCTATGCTTCCAACTTACCTGTGAATAAAATGAAGATGGGGGAGACAAAGAGCATACAAAGATGAGGTTAATAAAAGGGGGGGATGGAAAGAATTGCAGAGCACTGAGGTGTTCCATGAACTGTCTTTTTCTCTTTTTTTTAAAATGGAACACTTCATGAATTTACATGTCATCCTTGGGCAGGCACCATGCTAATTTTCTCTGTATGACTTCAGTTTTTGTATGTGTGCTGCCAAAGCGAGCACTCCATGACCTCTTAAATGAAATTAAATTCCACTAGCAGAATTTAATTTTATTAGTGAATCTTTTTAATTTTCATCTAGGAAAAACTGTAAACATAACCTGCTCTGCTTGCTTTGGGAAAGGCAACCAATCCTTTGCTGGCGTCCTGTGGCAGGTCAACAGAAGCAGAGTTAGGGACTTTGGTGAGGCAAGAATTCAAGAGGAAGAAGAACAAAATCAAAGGTATTTTTGTATACAAGTTAAAACATCCTTTTCCACTCCAACACAGTTTGCATTTGCCAACAAAACATTAAGAGTAACATGTTGCTTTCTCAGTTATAGCAGTGTGCTGAGTTGTCTAAACAAGAATTTAAGAATAAGTGACTTCAAGGAAGAGGATCTTTCTCTGGAGTATGACTGTGTGGCCTGGAATTTTCGTGGCATAAGAAGGCACACCATAAGACTGAGTAGGAAAAAGCCAAGTAAGGAGTGTTTCTGAGACTTTGGTCACCTAAGTTTGCTGTCTCACCTGGAAGCTGACATTATTTTCTAAGAGGACAAAGTTTGGCTCAAGAGGGAGCAAGGGGTTTGAGAATCCATCATGATGACAAAAATGACCTGTCTAATAAAAGGTGCTTCTCCTCTTGAGAGTGCTATTTGAAATCTGCTCGTCCACAATGTTTCCTTTGTTAAGAAGTCTCTTTACCCATTTTTAACTCCTCCTTCTCCTCGTCTTCCTTCTCTTCCTCCATCTTCCTCTGTGGGCTCCTCTTCAACCTTTGATTGCTTCTTCCATCATCCCTCCTAGGTGCAGGCAACAAGGTGACTTGTTGTCCGTATAGGATTCAATACAGTAACGAAGCTATCTTCAAGTCCTTGTGCTTTTTATTGTCACTGTATTCCATAATGCTAACTGATATCTGTGATGACATGCTCCACTGTAGGGATAGACCTACCATTTGTCCCACTCACTTGGTGTATCTCTGTATGCAATGTTGTCATGGAAACTTGTTGGGGCATTTGTCAGTTTTCTTGCCTGGTGTTTGCATTTCCAGGTAGTCATCCTGCTTGTTTGATGAGATATCTGATCCCTTTATAAAAAGGAGGAGGCAAAAATATGGTATTTTTATACTCATCATTCTCACAATGGAAGTGCAACTGTGTAGAAATCATTTAGATTTTGTCAACTAGCCAAAAAAAAGCATTAAACTCTTTATGGATAAACACACTGAGGCACAGCATGATGGGAAAGTATGGGGGTGGGAAAGCTGTCAACTTGAGACAGTCATAGTGAAAGGTCTGTGCCTGGGGTTTTTGTTTTAATTTTGACTTTAAGCCCTTATTTGTAAGTGTTTATAAAACAAACAGAGGCATGACTCATGAAAATGTCATTTTAAGTACCATTGTGTACAGTAGGGCCTTGGGCTTCCTTCTATCAGTGCTACTGGTGTTTCTCCAGTATGGCTGAGGACCACACCAACTTATTACAGGGTGGTGGTGGGCACAGTAGATCCTACAGGAAAGGGATAGTCACACACTATATTCCCTCCCAGAACAATCTGTCTTCTGCTTATGTTATCATTTATGAATGATTTGTCACCTGTGTATTGGAATTGTGTTCATGTCATCTGGTGTTTTTGTGGGGGGTGATTTTGTACTTTCTGGTTTATTTGTATTTTACCTGTTTTTGTTCAAATCAACATGGTTACAGTCTGTTTCAAAAACTGTATACATAAAGCAAAGATCATCTCTACTCCTGTTGAATTGTCACAGTTGAATGTCTTTATTCCAAAATTTACAGCTTTTCTTGAATCTAAATAACAAAAACTTTAAATGTTTATGTGTATATATTCTTAAATACTATTAAAGAAATATTTGATGCTTATAATGATAAGAGTACACACAGATATGTTTGTTTTCTATGTGCAAGACCTAAGTATTTTACATTTAAATTTCTAATTTATTTTTCACAATACCCCACAGAAGAGACTGTTACTATCATTTCATTTCATGGATGATGTAACACAGAGAACTGAAGAGTATACCTGTACTACAACTGAATAGTTGTAGTTATAAAGCTAGGATTCAAGTGCAGACAGAATTTTCTACTTATAAATACAGGAACATTTGGCATTTAGTCATCACATACACAAATTACCTATACAGTTATAAAATCATTGACATGTAAGTGAGTCCTAAACTCCAGCTTTGTTTAATGTCTTGAGTCAATTTCTTTCCTCCAGTTGAAAGCATTCAACCACCTGCATAGTTAGCTAACAATAGCCTGTTTTTGTTCAAATCAATATGGTTACACTCTGTTTCAAAACTGTATACATAAAGCAAAGATCGTCTCTACTACTGTTGAATTGTCACAGTTGAATGCCTTTTTTCCTAAATTTACAGCTTTTCTTGAATTTAAATAGCAAAAACTTTAAAAGTTTATGTGTGTCTATGCATTCCCTGCATGCATCCAGCTGGACTTTAGACAATTACTTTGAAATGAGTTCCTATGAGAATTTTTATCATTTAATTCAGCTCTTTCCCTTAGCTTTGGATCACTTTACCATTATCATTCTTGACTTCATAGTACTGGATCCTCAGGGAGTGGATGAATTGTTAGAGGTGGTAGAGAAATTTGTGAATTATTCAGGCTAAGGTGTCAAAGCTGGGAGCACACGCATGGAAACTTAAGACTAAAATGAAAAAAGAACCATATAGCCAATCTCTCTTGAGATTGTTCTCATATCCATCTTTAAAGAACGCTGCTTCCAAGGTGGATAGCTGACAAGTCTAAGAAGGAGGTAAACTTACAATAGTCAAGAACATCGTGAATGTCAAGATTCTTAGGTTCAACTTGTACATATTTGTTTCAAGACTCTGAAGATAGAAACCATGCTGCATATCATCTCGAGAAGGGAGGAGTACAGAGATAAAGTTCAGTGATGGCTGAATAATGTTCACTATCAGGGAAGGAAGGGTTATGTAGCATCTAGAACCCAGCACTTTGACCTCCCAATAAAATACGCTCAGTCTTGTATGGCATTTGCCTCTTCGTTTCCTATACCACCAGCCCCTCATATGCAGTAAGTTCCCCGGACCTACTGATTCATTCTCCTTAGGCTTTTCAAAAAACACCAGGTTGTCCATCCTTTCTCATTATTGCATGAGTTCAAATCCTCCTCATCTTTCACCCAACTACCCACTCCATTCTACTCAGCACCAATGATCTCCTTCCATAGAAGCTATCTGCTACCATCAGATTAACCTTTAGTCAAAAGTGCTTTTATTCTTAATGTCCCATGAACACTCTCCTTTGGCTCCTGTGACCTTTACAATAGGAAGAATACCTTGCTCTGGGGGCTTCAAGTTTGATCAAACCTAGCCATGGCCCCTCTTCATAATCACATCTTCCACTGATTCCACAATCTGGATTATTCCAGTCCCTCAGCAAATGCCCTTCCACTTCTTCACAACATTCTCTCTAGCCAGGAGGGAGTTTCCTTTTCTGCATCCTTTTGAATGCTATACATCCCTGAGGGACCTCCTTCTTCAAGAAGCCTTTCTTACCCAGTCCAGCATGGAGCAAGCTCTCCTTTGGAATGCCTCTGCCAGCTAAAATTCTGCTTCCTCCTCCTGTTAAGTTTGCATGTGTCTGTGTGTCTCCTTTGCTCTTTAGAATCCTCTGTGATGCCCATCTTGGTGCCTTGTAAAGAGTGGGCACTCAATAGACATTGATTTACTGATTTTTAAAGCAGACATGAAAATTCCAGATGGGTATCATAGGTATGACTCTCTTATACTTCCAATGAAGGCTAATATCCATGAATTTATTTTATCATGTTTTGATGACACTAATGACCGTTCTTCTCCTCCCCCTATCTTTCAGTAGTTGATCGTCAAAACATGTACTACATAGTTTCAGGATGTAGTATATTGTTAATGTTTATCAATATTTTGGTGATAGTCCTAAAAGTATTCTGGATTGAAGTTGTTTTGCTCTGGAGAGACATAGCTAGACCTTACAAAACTAGCAATGGTAAGTAGCAAGTTTCAAGATTGTCTTCAGAAAAAGAAGTTCCATAATGACTGTTGATTGCTTGTCTTATTATTATGCTGATAAATCCAGTTTTTCTCTTCCTTGATGGCATTGTTAGGGAATTTTTAGTCAACCCAGAGAGACCATTTTCTACCTTGCTTTGTTGCTGTTTTTGGTCTTGAGATTCATCTCTGTTTTGATTTTGTTGGTGGTGGTGGTGGTGTGGGGATTTAAACCAGAGTACTTGTGACATAGGTGCTCCATCACTTGAGCCACCCCTCCGGCCCTCCTGAGCTCGTGTCCTTCTCAACAGGAGTGATATTCCTACTAAATATCCAATAACAGAATCTACGCCAAGCCAGGAAAGATTTAAATAATTTGGGGAAATGTATTTTGTTAAGCTGTATGAACCAAAACATGAGCATGAAAATTGTTCCTGTTTTCCAGATGTGAACATGCTAGACAAGTATGTTGAAATGCAGGTTCATTTCACCTCAAGCCATAGTCCATAAGTGCAAACATGGACACACATATACACATGAAAGAAGATACTTCTGTCTGCTAAATATAAACTTTATCCTCTCATGTGGAAGCAAACATATGTTAGATTTTTTCATACAATCCACCCAACTACTAGCTAATTGATTTGTTGAAAATTTAGACCTTTTAAGAAATTCTACTTCCTGTGGGAGTATTGTATTTCTGACTTATCCTTGGTTTCATGTTTTGTGGTTTCAGTTACTCAAGGTCAGCTGAGGTCTGAAAATAATAAATGAAGAATTCCAGAATAAACAAACATAAGTTTTAAATTGTACATCATTGTGTATAGTATGGAGCCACATTGCTTCTTTCCACACATGACATGAATCATCCCTTGTCCAGTATATCCACACTGTATGTGCTACCTGCCTATTAATCAGTAGCTTTCTTAGTTATTAGATTGATTGTTGTAGTATTACAGTACTTGTGTTCAAGTTACCCTTATTTTACTTCATAATGGTACCACAGCGCAAGAGTAGTATGCTGGCAATTATATTACAGTGTATTGTTACAACTGTTCTATTTATTATTGTCAATCTCCTACTGTGCCTAACTTAAATGTTAAACTTTGTCATAGCTGTACATGCATACGAAAAACCACAGTATATGTAGCATTCAGTACTATCCAGGGTTTCAGGCATCTGGAGACATTGGAATGTGTTCCCTGTGGATAAATGGGGACTACAATATGGCGAAAATGAAAAACTGAACTCCACCAGGCACAGAAGAAAGCCCTGTCTGTGACTATAAATACTAATAGATTAGTAATCAAGTTTGGTCCTATGACTTGCACTATGCTGGACAGGCTCTTGTCAGTTCTCTGTCATTCAGTCTGAAACAGTAAAAAGGAAGAGAAGTTTGGGAATTTGGACTGTTATTTCCTAATCACATTTTTGGTGGAGAATTGCTATCATCTTTTCTAT